CGTTTATGGAACACCCCGACCAAGGGGTGGGCGAAGGTCGCTTGTTTTCGGTACACTTTAAAGGGAGGGCATGTGGTCGACAATGTCCACATACCGGACGATGATTAATTAGGCAGCAATTAATTGCGACGCGTTTCTATGGCTCACACTCATTTAAAAGAAGCAAGCAATGGCTAGGGTTTGTCACATGATGGGACGATGATTAATTACGTATAGTTAAGGACACTGAGAACAACAATGACCAACATATGCATCAGGAGCGCACACCAACATATCCACAGGAAATCATAATATAGAGCAGGACAAAAGCAGGAAAGTAAAAGCATCACACAGCACGAAGAAAAGGAAATTGAGATTTTCATTCCATGGCGAATACAAGGTTACATACTGCACTAAAATAAAATGTAAAAATACATCGTCGAGCACTTAAATTATTTGGGATGGATAGTGGTAGATGGAGCAGCGCCAGTCCACTGCGCTGCAGTAGTAGACGACACAGCTGACGTCACGGTAGCAGAAGCCTGCGCCACAGAAGTCGACTGAGCAACTATGGTCGAGGACACAGCAGCAGCAGCTGACGAAGTGCTTGCAGCGGACGAGGCAAAAGCAGCAAACCCCAACTGAGACGTCGTAGTCGACTGGACGGTGGTAGAAGAAGTGGTAGCAGGAGTGGTCGATTGCAAGGCAGCACTCAAAGAGAGGGAGGCGGCGGCAGAGTTAGTGGGAGCCAGGGCAGAGACAGGGGAGATGAACGATGGAGCGTTGGATGTTAGAGGCTGGGGAGGAAGGACAGCCACCGAGAGACGAATCAGGGGTGCCTCGCCAGGCCTAGGCAGGTCGAACGAGCTCTTCAAGGAAGGGTCCCCCGCCAAAGTCCGCTCTAACGACGCCGACCACCAAGGATGATCAGCGGGCAGGTTTGGGTCGCCGGTGAAGTTAGAGGGAGCAGAGGGAATCGCCTCCCAGGTCTTATCCTGGTCGAGCTCACCGGTGAACCCCATCTCCTTCAGTTGGCGATCGACCTCCTCCATGCTATAGGTGTAGAAGTCCACCCCTATCTGAGCAGCCTCTTTGAGGAAAGCCGTCGAAGAAAGATAGTCTTTGATCAACTGCTCTTGATAGGCCCGGAGGAAATTTTGACCAACTTGGGTCCTCCACAGCGCCCGGCAAGACTGCTCGATTGCAGTGATAGCAGCGGCTTCAACCTCTTTCTTACGGCCAGCCTTCTCCACCTCGAGAGCCTGGTCCTTGCCTTTCAGCGCATCCTTATACCGCTGCTCATCCTTTTTTAGCTGCTCCGCCAAGGCGTGGTGTGTCTTGAGCAGGTCCTCGTTCTCGGCCTTAAATCTCCTGTTCTCCTCCTCAAGACGCCTATTATCGCCCTCGAGCACAGGAATTGGGCGACCGGTGCTGTTCAACTTTTCCTCGAGCAGAGGCACGACAGAGACCAAAGTCTGTGGCAAGAATAAAGTCAAGTACAACACGAAGCAGAGTGCTCGAAGGTAAAGTTAAAGAAGGAAATATACCTGCGTCACCGCACGAACAGCATACTCGGCCTGATTGCGACGGTTCACTCCCCAACGATGTGTATCGTCAAAAGGTAGAAAGCTCATCAGCCGGGACACGGTTTCTCGGGGACCAGCAGACACAAGTGAAAGAGAAGAGTGAGGGGGCGGAGGATTTCCAGAAGAAGCAGCTTCGGGCTGTGGTCGCTTGGGAGAAGGAAGAGGATTAGTTGACGAGGGACCAGCCCCCTCAGTTCGGGGACGTTTCTTGGAGACATCCCCCTCTCTGGAAGAATGGGTGGAATGACGGTCGACTTGCCGAGGAGGAGGGGAAGGAGCCCGTTGCCTGCTCGAATGGGAGGAGGCGCCAGCACCAGAATTCTCTGGTCGAGAGGGACCATCCTTGATCGACGACTGGCCCTTGGTTTTCTCGACGTTTGCAGGAGTGTCCCTGTGAACAGACCTCCTGTCACCAGTCTTCTTCAAATCCGGCTTATGCAAAAATCCCTCTGCAAGAATGATAGAGTTAGTTAGAAGTCGATCAACAATAGCAAACAAACCCAAGGCAGGATGATGATTCGAGCACCTGCTCGAGCTGTCGCGTTTACTTCAGCAAGCTTAGGGTCGACGCGGATTTGAAGAATGGTTTCGGCGAGAGGAGGAGAAAATGCCTTATGGGTCAGAATTCCACAGTAATGGAGAAGATTATTATTTTCAAGTAAAGGAGTAGAAGCAACGGGATTGGAGTTCCACACTTGTATGCGTCGGTCGAAAAGAGGGTTAGCAGCAGGACGAGCAGGTTTTATGGGCACTTCGGTGAGCCAAGGGGTGGGTGCCCAAGGATAAGGCTGCAGAGGGCGTACATACACAAACTGGTCTTTCCATCTCGGCACATTGGAAGGTCGATCAGTAATAAAACAGGCTTTATTTTGGCTCTTCAAATAGAGGCCGTCGGACTGTGTGGAAGCAAAATAACAGTATACAAAAAAGTCTAAATCTACTCTACCCATGCGAACTATAGACAAAATAATGAAGGACGCTAAAGTCCTAAAAGCGTTGGGAGTGATTTGGTTGAGAGGCAGGCCGTATAGACCGCACAAGTCGATCAAGGCCGGGCAGATAGGGAAACGGAGGCCTAGGTCGAAGTGGGCGCGGAAAAATGTGTAATAGCCCTCCGGAGGATTATCATAGGTATCATCGTTGTCAGGGGTACGGGCAGCCCCGGGATGGCCAATCGCAGAAAAGTCGAGATGGGAGGCACTGGTCGACGGTTTGGAAGACTTGGATCGTTTGGACACCTTAGGACGAGGGGATTGAGGAAGCTCGGTAGACGATACAGGAATACGATTGGACAACGGGACGTGGTCTTGAAGATCATCCTCGTCTTCAATCTTGTCATCCTGACCGAGAACTCAACGAGCACGCTCGGTGGGAGGAGAAGGAGGGCGACTGGTGACCTCGCCTTCAGGCTGGTCGACAAGGTATGTGGAGGGAGAGAGAGCAGCGGCTGAAGGGCTATCACTTGTCGATGCCGGAGGAAGGACGGAAAGGGGCTCAGGTTGAAGAACTTCTTCTACAGAATCACTTGAGAGGCTAAGGGTTGCAGAGGAAGAAGGGGGAGTTAGGTCCTTCCCGCTGTGTCAGTCATTCTCACTTGAAGTAGCAGAATCTGAGATAAAAGGAAGAAAAGCTATAATTAGTTGGAGGATGGAGCAAAAACAGAAGAGAAGGAGGAAGAGAAGTGAGGGAAAGCACAGCAGGAAGGACGAACAGCGGACGGAGCTATAAATCGACAAGAGGTTGAGGAAGAAGAGAAAAAACCCGAAAATTAAAAGCGCACTAACACGAATTGAAGGATAAAGAAGACTTACTCATGGCGAACAGTGGAGAATGTGCAGGAGAGATGGAGAACTCAAAGTTGCAGGATGCTCGACGATTGCAGGAAGCCCTAGTATGACGATATGCAGCAGTGGAGAAAAGAGAAAAAAGTTCTCAAGGATGGGTATTTATAAGGGTGAAGAAGAATGGTTGACCGTAGGATTAAAAGCGAAAAATCCAACGGCAGAAGCGAGAAGGGGCGTGCAAGTGGACGCGAAGATCGAGGTAGCACGAGCCACGAGGTCATCATTAGTCTTGAGCAACTGAAAAGCTGCGGCCTAAAAAGCGGACAGGTGGCGGAGTTCGAAATTCAAAAGGCAGAAAGTGACAGTTAGAAAAGAAAGCGAGCGTACAAAAGAAGTGAACGGGTCGATGGTCGAAGAAAGAGCAATGGAACTTCCTCGACACAAACCAAAGTTTACTCTTGGATCGAGTCGTTCAGACTCGACCAGAGTGGGGGGACTAAATGATGTGGGATATTATATACTGGACCGGTGGTCTAGCAGGACCGGACACCGACCACGTAATACATCGAGTAGATAGCGACAGTTAAGGGAATCGTTAGTGGTCGACAGATACAAGCCATCCGAGGATATGGTCGAGGAAAGATGATCGAGGAAGCACGGACGCGCAAAACTGATAGAATACCAGAGCACACCCGGGAATCCCCAGCACGTAAAGGAAAGGACACGTGGCAGGCTATGATTGGTCAACGGCCGTAACAAACTCTGATATTCTCTGATAAAGGTGACGCGTTTCTGACACCGAAGATAGTGGAGGCGCGCGGTTGTACGGACGAGCAGAGGACAGCTGGCCGAACTCGCCTTGCTCGCGCGTGCAGCTCAGGTAACTCGCCCTTATAAATAAGGGCGAGAATCCTCATTTTCGACACAATCTCATATGCTCATATATCCTCATATACATTGATATCATCTCTCAAGATCTGACTTGAGCGTTGGAGGCTCTTCACCGGAAAACACCTCCGGTGTGGGAGTTTCGTGCAGGTTCCGCGTTCAACCGGCGAGGAAGGCAAGCTTAGAACAATTTCCAGCCGGTCCGGGTGCGAGACTTGTATTACGCTGCCAAGATGAAGATGATTATAACGTCACTGCAACCTCACCCCAAAACCCAATAGCTCCCCCCTTATCCGCTTCTATTGGGCGACCCAATACCCCCTAGGCCCATTTCGGATTTCCAAGGCCAGCATTCTTCTAACCCTCACCCCTCAAACCAAGATACTAACCCACATGCCCAACCCTCCCATTTATTAACCCACAGCCCAACCCTCTTATTTATTAACCC